TGAAACGGTATGAAATCGGTATGGTACGGTTCGGTTAGGGTACGGTTTCGGTATTTCGGTTTTAGATGCCCACCCCTAGTCCAAACAATAATTTAAGAATTATTTTGTTTTTATTTAATAAAAAAGTCCAATCAGATATCTTCAACAACAACAAAACAGACCTATCAGGAAAACGAAACAGAAAAGAAAGAAATTAAAAATGAGTAAAGCCAGTGCTTATATCTATGTCTCATTCGCTTCTTCCATGAAGAAGCCAGTGACATCTTTGCGTACCAACTCCATAAGGAAGCCAAAACCATGAGACCTCCTTCTCCTCATCATCCTCAACAACTGCCCCACCAGTCAAACTCCAGCCCATCACCACCCGAAGACGTCCCGGACCGAACCCGACCCACACCAGCCCCGCTAATGGCCCCACTGCCCACTGGGGGCCAGCGGAAGAAGAGCTCCAAGGGAACGACCGGCGTCCGGGCCTGGCTGCTAATGGACTCCGGCGGGAAAACCCAAGTAGTGGAAGCGGGTAAACACGTCATCATGCGCCGGACGGGTCTACCCGCCCGGGACCTCCGGATCCTCGACCCGGTTCTCATGTACCCGTCGACGGTTCTGGGTCGAGAGAGAGCCATTGTGATCAACCTGGAGCACATCAAGGCCATCGTCACCGCCCATGAGGTCCTCTTGGTCAAGTCCGCCGACCCTTCTGTCAGTCCCTTCGTTGACGAGCTTCAGCGCAGGCTAATCAGCCATAACCAAGCAACCACAGCAGCTCTGGTTGGTACAATGCGATCTCTTCTTTTATTTCTTGAGAGATTTTGATGGATAAGAGTCTTTTTAGTAATTGCATGGGTGGTGTTTGTGAAAATGTGTAGGAGGGGAATGAAGAAGATGGGTCGAAGTCAAACTGGACCAGGCTGCATGATTTGGGAGAGTCACAGTCGAGAGGTGAGAGCCGTGAGAATTCCCCAAAAGGGTTTTCTGATCAGTTTGATGAACAGGGTCGAGTTGAGAAGAATCAATTGTATGGATCAAAGGTTCTTCCTTTTGAGTTTGTTGCATTGGAGGCTTGCCTTGAATCTGCTTGCAGTTGCTTAGAAAATGAGGTATAAACATCAACTCCAGTTACTCCAAATTTTATAACTTTTTTGTTTTTATTGTTTCATTAATTAGTAATTGTTTGTTTTTGTATATTATTTTGAAGGCAAAGAGATTGGAGGAAGAAGCTTATCCAGCTTTGGATAAGCTGAGTTCAAAGATAAGTACTCTCAATCTGGAACGTGTCCGCCAGATCAAAAGTCGCTTGGTTGCTATAACCGGACGTGTTCAGAAGGTGAATTGGGCACTTGGGTTTTGAGGGTTTTGATTTTTCTTTAATTATACACGTGATTATGTGTCTATTTTTGGGTATTTAAATGATATGGATGGTTCATTTTGTTGATCTGCAGGTGAGGGATGAATTAGAACATTTGCTAGATGATGATGAAGATATGGCCGAGATGTATTTGACTGAAAAGTCTGTTGAGCGAGACTTAGAAATTAATTCTTCTGCATCTTCATCCATGAACGAGCCGATTCTGTGCGATGAAATGGATGATGAAATTGTTCAAGCAGACATGGAAATCGACAGGCATGCACGTAGCTAATAATAATCTCTCTATCTCTACTTTGATATAAATATTATAGGTCAGCAATTTTTATTTTGCTTTACTTTTTTGCAGGGACGCCCAAATTGGTACAACTACTACTAATACAAGCAAGCAGCTTGATGTGCAGGAGCTTGAAATGCTTTTGGAGGCATACTTTGTCCAAATTGATGGCATACTAAACAAGCTATCCACGGTAAGAAAATAGGGTAATCTTTATACTTTGGCCAGATTATGGTTTTTGGTCCCCGACTTCTAGTTTCAATTGTCACGATTTTAGTCATATAATTTACTAGTCGTTGCAATTCAAAGACAATAGTTTGATTTTGTCAATTTTTTGAATGGGGAGCACACATGATGGGTACATTTGAGGTGTTTTACATCTCTAAAAAGCTGAACTTACCCTCGCATGTGTCGCTCGTATGCTAATTCGGTTGGATAAAAAACCTAATGACGAAATTAAGGCATTTGTCCTTGAATTGAAACAAATAGCAAACCACAAGTCTAAAATCGCAGAAATTAAAACTACAGGTACCAAACTTGGCTCAAACTACGAGGACCGAAATCATACTTTAGCCATTTAATCAGTAGAGTTCATCTCCTTGTAACCATTGTTTGACTTTATTTTTATTTGGTTTGTGTGTGATGGGCTTGAAAAATAATGATGAAGCTGAGGGAGTATGTGGACGACACAGAGGACTACATAAACATAATGCTGGATGACAAACAGAACCAACTGCTGCAGATGGGGGTGGTGCTGTCCACAGCAACCCTTGTGGTGAGTGCCTTAATCGTTGTGGCTGGAGTCTTCGGGATGAACGTAAGAATAGCACTCTTCAAGGAATCAACCAAAATTGGGATGCCAAAGTTTTTGTGGACTGTTGGGGGAGGTTCCATTGGGAGCATTGTCTTATTCGTCATCGCTATTGCCTGGTATAAGCATTCACGCTTGCTGGATTAATTTATGTGCTAATTAAAAGTTAAATAATGTATTTATTAAGTATATCTAATGTATTTATAAATTACTGATGTGATCATGTGGCTTTATAATATTCTACATTATGTGGAAAGTGGTGAGTCTACCTAACATTAATAAAATTAAAATAAAAACAAAAATCATCCATGAATTATTTTTAGGAACTTTTTTTCCCAACCAATATGACTTTGGGTCATAAACATTAGTTGGTTTTCCAAATCTATTTATGTAGTGTTCTAACAAAATGTCACATCTTTCTTCCGGGTTTTAAATATACTCAAATATTTTAAGAGTATAGCATGTATTAGAATATTTTAAAAGTATAGCATGTATTCGAATATCAAATGCTATGTCATAAAAAAAAAAAGCACTTAACTTAATAAATTGAGGGACAAATCGAGTAATAATGTAACAACTTGTAACTTTAGGTGTGTTTTTATCAAGTTTAAAACCGTTACATGTAATTAACCCTAATAATAAATGTTGTACTTTAGTACGTATTAGATGTATTAACTAGGAAAGTGACACATGACGACATGAGTGAACTTCTCACGTTAGAGTAAAAGGAGGAAAAATTAAAACAGAGCAAAGCAAATCTTCCCAACTCTTCAAAAGAGAGGGAGACAGAGACAGAGAGAGAGTACCCAAAATCCCAATCCCAACCCGCGAAGCCAAAAAGCCATGAGAGCTCCTAATCCAATTCACCACCCCTCTAAGTCGGGCGCAGCGGAGGACGACCCGGACTCGACCCGGCCCACAATGCCAGGGATGGGCATGTCGGTGGCCGCCGGGATGCGGAAGAAGGGCCTTGGTGTGCGCCCATGGCTGGTTCTGGACGCCAGCGGCCAAACCCAGGTGGTAGAGGCGGGCAAACACGCCATCATGCGCCGAACGGGTCTACCCGCCCGTGACCTTCGGATCCTGGATCCGCTTCTTTCGTACCCGTCTACTGTACTGGGTCGAGAGAGAGCGATCGTGATCAACTTGGAGCACATCAAGGCCATCATCACCGCTCAGGAGGTCCTCTTGCTCAATTCCAGAGACCCATCTGTGACACCATTTATTGATGAGCTTCAGCGGAGGCTTTTGCGCCATCACCAAGCCACCACCAAACCCGCCAAAACCCAGGTACCAAAAAGTCGTCATTTTTTGTCTAATTATGATTTTATGTGGTTGTAATTGTGATTTGTGGTATTGGGTTGTGTTGTTTATTGTGATTTTGGTGTTGTTAATTGTGATTTTGGTGTTGTGTGGTGTTGTTGATTTTGGGTAGGATAAGGAGGGCAATGGTGAAGAATCAAATTGGTATGACATGGAAGAGGCAGAGGCTGATGCACAATTGAGACGTGTTGTTGGTGGTAATGATGAAGATGAGGCAACAGGGAAGCAAGGTCTGGAGGAGAATCGTGATGCGTTGAAGGTTCTGCCTTTTGAGTTTGTTGCATTGGAGGCATGCCTTGAGGCTGCATGCAGTTGCTTAGAGAATGAAGTGAGTGAATATCATATTCCTCATTGCCTCATTTTATGATCTGTTCCGTGCTTTCTAACTTGGTTTTATCTATTTGTTTGTTTTGTTTTGTGAATTGACAACAGGCAAGGACATTGGAGCAAGAAGCTCATCCAGCTTTAGATAAGCTCACTTCAAAGATTAGTACTCTCAATTTGGAACGTGTCCGCCAGATCAAGAGTCGCTTGGTTGCAATTACCGGCCGCGTTCAGAAGGTTAGCTTAACATTTGATAATACACATACCCTTTACTTTTATGGTGAAGATTAAGTGGTCAGGCTTAGCACATAGATGCTTGTGGTTGTATAATTACTTTTTGAATGAGATGATTTAGTTCAACTTGTTTTTTTTATTATGTTGACCTCTAGGTGAGGGATGAACTAGAACACTTGCTTGATGATGATGAAGATATGGCCGAGATGTATCTAACTGAAAAGTTGGTTCAACAACATTTTGAAAATTCAACCACTTCATCTTTGAGTGAGAGAGAGGACATGGATCATGAAGCTCCACGAAGAGACATGGATGACAGGCAAGGCAGCTCATAATCTCATTCTCATTTTAACTTATAGGCATGCCAGTCTTCACTCCTAAGTTTTCCCATTCTATTTTTGTTAGGATTCCTACTGAAATCTCATTGGATGCTTCCGGGGGTTCCTCCAATTTTGAAGGTGATCTTCAAAACCCTGACAATCCCCAGCCTCAATTCCTTAGCAGGGACAGCCATGGGACCTCTACTAGCTCCACTCATAGTGCTATGGGAAAGGACCTTGACGTAGAGGAGCTTGAAATGCTTTTGGAGGCATACTTTGTGCAAATTGATGGTACACTAAACAAGCTATCCACGGTACGCAAGTACATTTTATCTGTCAGTTTTTTCTATGTGAATATCTTTAAGTGAACATAATTCAAAATAGAGTGACACTATTGCCACTCACATCTTGCATTCTCCACCCACCTTAAAGCCTGTATTGAATTATACTGAAGGACAACATGTAAAAGTAAAAAATTTTAAAATGTCAGTTGAGATCACCGGCCAGTGGTGATGCGAGAAGCCAGCCTAGGCAGTAGAGGTCAGTTCAGAGATCTCCATCTTTAGAAGGCCAGCCAATGGTGGCCTCTGGTCATTGCTCCTATAGGGACTCCATGGCAGTGGATGGCCTCTGCTGTTCAAGTAAATAAAATTAAGGTATATATATATATATATATATTTTTATATTTATATATAATCTTAGGGTTAAGGGTATTTTAATAATAATGGGTTTAGAGAGTGGGTGGGGTGAGAAAACTGGGGATTATATATATATATATATTTATATATAATCTTAGGGTTAAGGGTATTTTAATAATAATGGGTTTAGAGAGTGGGTGGGGTAAGAAAACTGGGGATGAGAATAGCGCCACTCTAAAAATATTCAAGTACTCCTCTTTTCTTCTTTTAGGTGAACATAAAATATTCTGGTTCTAGAGGATACTAATGAGGGGTTAGTTGGAAAGAGGTTTGAAATCCCCAAAGGTACCTACCTAGCTATTTGCTAGTGTTTCCTGCCTCCCAAAGGTTGTAGGGTTCGGCGGGGGCCCCAGTTTCAAATCTGTGTCCAATTTGAGGATTGGTGGATTTCTGGGTATGAAAAAAAAAAATTAAGCATATTTGGCATACCCTTGACGTAGGAAATTATTAAGGCAGCCCTCTTAGTTGATGTTCACCTGCTGTGATTTATCAATTTTTTTTTTCTGAGCAGCATAGTATACATCATTTTGTCTTCTGCAAATTGCATGGCTGCCTCAATTACTTCTAATACCGTAACCTCAAAGCAAGCCGAAAGGGGCCGTGAATGCCTTAAATTAGATTTTCCTTCCATTACGCCAATTCTTCACAGTTAGATATGAAATTGATGTTTTTAGCCACAGTTTTGATTCTGTTGAAACTATCCCTCAATAGAGACTTAATCAAGATGTAGATAATTGTAACCAATTTTCTAGCTTGTTTGATCAAGTGAAAGATAGATCTTACTAATTGAATGGAAAAGGTGGGTTCATTATATTGTAATTTGGTTCCTTGGTGGGAAGAATTTCCACTGTGACAGAAAAATCTGGGTCATTGTCTTCTCACTATGGTGCACTTTTATTGCACATTTCTCTAGCAGGAAGTGGGATGCAATAAAAGCTTATGTATACGAGGAAAATATTTTCAAGTTCTTTTCCTTTGTTTAAAGTAGGTAACTATACCTTGATATTTTGTAGCCATCATATATGGGATTGCTGGGAAAGAAACGCATGTTGCAAGTCTGCTAAATCTTTATTGATAGTATTCATTAATACCTTCCAAAATCCTAAGACCAAAATTTCGGTTTTTCAACACCCTATTCTTCTTTCGTATCAAAATGTCTTATGAAGTTTATGCATTAAATCTTTTTACATTTATCTTTATATGTGGAATCTGTTCCTCTTGTCATGAACACATCTTTTCGTGCGTGTTACTGGTTTTTTTTATATTGGTTGTTTCTTGGCAGCTGAGGGAGTATGTCGACGACACAGAGGATTACATCAATATAATGTTGGATGACAAACAGAATCATCTCCTGCAAATGGGGGTCATGTTGACCACAGCAACCCTGGTAGTGAGTGCCTTTGTTGTTGTAGCTGGTATCTTCGGCATGAATATCAAAATTGAGCTGTTTGATTCAGAAAAAGCAGGGATGCGAGAGTTCATGTGGACTGTTGGTGGCAGTACTGGTGGGACCATATTCTTATATGTGATTGCTATTGGATGGTGCAAGCATAAACGCTTACTGGAGTAGTGATGCCAAGCTCCTTTATGAAAAGAACCTCAAATTGAAGTGTATGCCACCTTTTGGTAGATATCCTTTATACAGACAAACACCCAACTCTCCATACAGCTTACTTCTTTGTTTACCATACGTAATGCAAATATTCATGTAATAAATAATAATCAGCATTTGCGTTGTTCTTTAGTTTGGTAAGAGAATAATGTTTCAGGGTGTGTAGTTGATCTAAAATGGTGATCCCTCCTACCCTGTGTTCTGTGACAACTCCTGATCATTAAGTGGAGTTGTAGTCGAGAAATCGGTAGCTGCTTATGAAGATTGGAATCAAGTTGGAGGAATATTAGGCAACCTGAATTGGCCGAACTCAACTTGCAACCCTACCAGTCTAATAAGAGCGGTCGATAGATTTCATTCGGAGTTATGTTAGAGAAGTTAGCATTATACTTTTTACCTTTATTCACTCAATTTCAAAAGCCTTGAATATCCAAGTATGCTTATGAATGCATCTTGTATGGCATTGCAACCTTTTTCATGTAAATATCTATGTACTCCGAATTTGAGATTGGTAAAGGAAGGTTGGGTTCCTTCTTACATTTGTTGCCTTTAGACAAATGTTTGTACTGATCACATCACTGACCATTCCATGTGTAAAAGTATTTACGTGGGACCAATCTAAGTAGGTGAATCTCATCCCAATATCGTCAGCAATGCGATCAATTAATGCCCTAAACCCTAAACCCTGAACCCTTGATTCTAATGCAGTATCAAACAATTCTAATACTTTGGTCGCTATAAGGAAAACTGCAATATCAAAAAGCTGTCTAAATAATACAAGTCTTCATATCTTTGGATCAACTAGGAAGGTCTGTATTTATTACAAGACTCCCTTGTCCCCTGATTACATGGTATAACTTTATAAGGAAGAATGATAAATATTTCCATGGAATTTAAACACCCATGAAATGTATTATTGTGTAGGTGGGTAAAATAAAAGGAAAAAGGAAATCAAACTCTTGACCTAGCTAATTCCGCAACTATTACTTTTTGTATGACTTGATTCACATAAATTTTTAAGAAAACTTATCTGTAATACTGATTTTAAAACCAACAAAAAGTTTACAGATAGGGAAATTTGAAAATAGAAGCTTATGGTAAAAGTAATAATAATATGCCTTCTTCAGGCTGAAGAGTGCTGACGTGGAATTGTAATCAAAGAGCTAAAACCCAAGGGATAAGTTGAATAATTACATGGACAAAGAAAGCCTCATCGTCGTCATCATAATCTACATGTTCAGAAAACCAGTGGTCGTAGTGGAAAAGCCATGAGCTCAATAGGCCAAAGCATATTGATGGCCCTGACTGTTACAGTGAACAAGTTTGCTTCATCTAACGTGCAGGCAGTCCATAGAAGGCAACGCAAAGATAGAAAGAAAACCACTTACTCCAAGGCAGCCAACGATTTTGGAAGAAGGGGGCTGCTCTTATCTGCTGCATTTGCTACTCCCACTGTCAGTGATTCTGGGGCCGAACTTCTTAAAAGTACAGCACATATTATTATCTTCTTGGGTTTTTTTTTCTCTTCAGCCGAAATTCATTGTGCTTATTTTGCTTGTTTATGGGTTGCCCATGTGTTTTTTTGGTCTTGTTGGGTTTTTCCTTCTTTGTTTTTCTTGGTTTATATGACTTAGTAGTAATTGAAATTTGTATCAGAGTATCTGAAGAAGTCAGAAGAGAACAAGGCCAAGAATGACAAGGAGGTAAAAATTTCTTGAATTTCCCTTTTCTTGTGTATTTGGATATCATGGCATTCTTCATAAGTTGGAAGTGTTGCCAAAGATTTTGAAATCATTCTTCAGCATTTTGCTCATATGCTAGAGGAACAATAATGCAAATTTTCATTCTTTTATATGTTTTGTTCTTACGCAAATATATTTGCAGAGAATGGACAGTTACTATAAGCGCAATTACAAGGATTACTTTGAGTTTGAGGGAGGAACTATAAGGGCGAAGCAAGGGGAGCTCACCAAATCGGAGAAGGGGATTCTTGATTGGCTTGAAAATAACAAGTGAAAACCACTTTTTTAGTTACAACAACTATTTGAAGTTCAAAGTAAAGAAGCTGCTCATATGGTGTCTTGGTTGTGCACCAATCTTTTTTATTTGAATGAAGATTCTTACTTTTATCAGCATTACAAATCTATATGTTGTGTCTTTGCAAGCACTGATCTCATAGTTTCTTCATCAGATACACTGACAAGTCATTTATCTTTGTTTCGATTTCACATCGTTACGATGCGAGTGGACATATAGTATTTCTTCCTTAAGTTGTACTGTAAATTTCTGATCAACCTTTTCCTTCACTAAATCTAGGAGGTCAAGCATGTCTTGAGAGGTTGAGCCACCACAATTTATGAAGAAATTTGCATGCATTTTGGATACCATTGCCCCTCCCACTCTAAAGCCTTTCAGCCCAGCTTTCTCAATCAATTCAGCTGCAGCAACTCCCACATCCAATGGATTTCGAAAGACCGAGCCAGCACTTTGTTCCCCAACTGGTTGAGAAATTCTTCTCCTGCAAATTTAGCCACACTAAACCCATAAGCATCTACAAGTTTAGGAGTCTTACAGGAGAACTTATCTCTCACTTTTTCTCTAGTTGATGTAGATTACCTTTCCATGTATTCATACTGCCTTCTCTTTGCTGATCCTGAGGGCTGCAGCTTAAATTTAACTGCAGTTATAGCTGCCAATTCTTGCATATCTTGAAATGGAGATGAACGGTACCCGAAATTGAGATCAGTCCTGTTAAGTCTATGAAGCCTTCCATCCATTGTTATAATGTCAACACTATGTATAGCATCAGCAGTCTCCTGCCCGTTTGCTCCAGCATTCATATAAGTAGCTCCTCCTACAGTACCAGGAATTCCTCCAGCAAACTCAAGCCCTGTGAATCCTTCATTTGAGCAGTGTACCCCTAACCGGTTAAATCGGAAACCACTTCCAACTCTATATAGACCAGGTTTCTCCTTCTCCAAGAACTCAATCCGGTTGAGTATGACACAACCATCAAAACCCAAATCATCAAATAAACAGTTTGAGCCTTTGCCAATGATAACGAACCTAATCGAATGCTCATGACAGAATCTGCAGAGTTGTCAAGAAAGCAAGGAACTTTACAGAATTTAATGCCAATTATGAATAAATTAGTGTACTTTATCAACTAAGAAAGAATCTTGACTGCAAAACAGAAGATAATGCCAAGTTTGTCTTTATGAAAAGCAAAATAGAAGGATCAAATGAAATGGTCTTAAACAGACAGACTACGTTTCAGACAGTGTAAAATGCATAAAATTATCTGATAACCCAAAAGAAAAAACCCAGAACTCAGCTTCCTAAATTTGAACCCACAATCAAAATCGCATTATATAACACATACTAGTACTAGAAAAGAAGAGCAAAGCAAAACCTGATAGCAGAAACAAGTTGGGTTTGATCCAAGACTTGGATAAAATAATTACAAGGGCCCCCAATGCCCCAAGTGCTGAGATCCTTCAACAGCTTCTTGCCCCGAATAAATTTCAACCCGGTCCAGTTGTTGTGAGTTTGTTCTTGTTTGCTGAAGCTGCTGCTGTGATTGCAGAGTAAGGGGCCTCTGGTTCTTGGTGAATGTAGCAAGAGCCCAGGAGGCTTGTAGCAGAGTGGGATTGACATGGAAGAAGAGCTCCTAGTTTACAGTTTACAGTTTTACATGCATTTTTTTAATGAACTTTTGGTTTTCACTTTTCACAACTCATTGTCTGAAACTTAACATGCCTGAAAACCCTCGTTTGTTGGAGAATGCCTTGCAGGTTTTTTCTTTTTTCTTTTAATAAAAAACTTCTCAACAAGGGCCCAGAATCAACCACTCTGGGCCTCAAGGGCCCAATAACAAATGTATAATTTCTTGAAAAAAGAAACTATATTGCAGTAATTATATTGGAAGCAGTAAGTCAAAGTTTTTGCATATTGCCATATGATATTGGGCAAGCAGACAGTGAAATTTGTCATTGGCTCAACATGTTTTTATGTTCCAAACTATTTGCAGTGGTGCTTCCTAGTTCTATCAAGCAGTAAATCTACACATTTTTATGTCTTGAGAACTTTTTTCCAGGATTAGCTTCACTCTGTATACATCAAAATCTGTAATTCTGAGACGGTGGTAGATCTTGGTATTGCTCTTAGCTGCAGGTGCTGTGCAGGTACCTTCTGACTTAGTTCATAATTTTCGCAGATATTTATCGTGACATGCAGGTCCATGGCAGAGATGATAAGAGCTGCTGAGACTTTGTCTTAGGAAATGGGAACACTTGGAATTAAAATGGCATTGTTTTGGCAGGAGCTCAATGTTACAACAACTCAAGTAAGAAACAACAAAGCACTCCCTTCCCCCTTGCTTGTATATATGTCTTGCAGGAATTGAAGGTTTTGTCTTGTAGGTGGTTGGAAGGGCAAATGATGTTTTCCCATACCTTTTGGGTTCTTCTTATCCAATTATCTGTGCTTTTCTGCAATATGATGGAATGCAGTGAGGCAAAACATGACTAACCATCACTTTTATATATCTTCAATTTTTAATTCAATGTTTTTTTTATTTGTATATTTTTTGTTTTTTGTTTTTGTTTTTTTTTGGGGGTTTTGATTGACTGCATGGAAGACTCCCATTGCTGAACCACCAAATTTAAAAATACAAAAGAACATGTGGGTAGGACTTGGAATTTTGACAGCTTTGACATCCTAAATTCCCAATTGCATATCTCATCTTTATCCTTGTTCAGCCTTTTTAAAAAGAAAACAAAGTTTTTATTTCAATTGGGAACTGACTGGGAATAGTTTTAGCAATTTAAAAATGCCAAGAATGACACAGAATTGTGCTAGACATAAAGTCCAATGACAGCTTCACAGCAGACAGACTTGAAGTGTGCAAAATTACATTAATAAATAGTGTTTAAAATATTTGTTTAAAATGGGATCCTTCCGAATGAGATAAAGAGCACATATTAAACAAGATGGGGCATGTTCCATTGGGTCAGGGAGATCTCAGGCAGGATCTCCTGGGCTTAGAAAAAGAGTCATGAAAATGCATATGAAATATTCCAAGTTTCCAACATCAAGTTTGGCCTTTCCTCCCTCTTTTCTGTGCTCTCATCAGACTGCCCATCACTCATTACACTTTTGCATCATCCTGTCCCAATTTTCATATGCATTTTTAAGCCTTAATTTTTTTCTTTTTTGGAGAAGAAGAATATAATTCAGCATGGATGGAGCCTTGTCTGGACTCTAGGGACATGAAGCCAGGAAGGTCTTGTCTTTATTATTAATGCCTAAGCCTTTTCCAAGATTTGGTTTTACTTATTATGGATAGGTAGGAAGCTTTCCAAGATGTAGATTTGAGCAAATCCCACCTAATCCAATCTGATGATGATTAGTATTAGCTTGTTCTTTTGATCTTGTATTTTGTAGACTGGCCGACAGTTAGGTGGATGCTTCATTTTGTCCTACTATTTGATTTAGCCAGGTTAAATAATTAAGGAAACACATCTATCTACTTTGTTGGACTGCTAAAGTACATGAAATTAGGTGGAGAATAATGGCAGTTGACAAATTTTTTTTGTTATCTTTGATGGAGAGATTGTTGATGTTTAAGGCCTGTTTATTCATTCCATAGTTTTTTACTAGCTGAGTTGATTTTCACTGCAATGGCATGATTAAAAGAGCATGGAGCTCCATGGAAAAAAATAGTGCCAGTTTGGTCACACATAGGCTGCCTAAAGAAAAGGCTTAGCCTTTTTCTTTTTGGTGAAAAGAGGGATAAGCAAGAGAGGCCAGCTCATTTGCACCACCTGCTAGTTGACAAAAAATTTAATTTAATTTTGGAAGCATGAAAATTTATTTCTAACTTCTTCTCTCTTAGGTTGTTTCCCACTGCATTGACAGGTAAAGGGGAAAAAAAGAAAAAGAAAAGAAAAAGGAACATGCAAGATCCCTTTTGAGATCCAATTCCTTCTACTTTTTGCAGCCTTTCCCCACCATCTCTACTTGAGAAACTAATACAGCAGCTGCTGTAGTGGTAGAAACAAGAAGAGACCAGCAACTGATGATGAAGATATCCCTTTCCTTCATCTCATGCCAATCCCCTACCCTTGAAACCATCTGCATGTTAAGAAACAGGCTCCTTTAGTCTAAAGAACATAAGGAAACACTGCATTGTATTTGTAAAACTAAACTGGAAAAAAAAAAAAGGCACTCAACTGGTTGTTCTGAAGGTTATTTCCAGATAGAGTAGATTGTAGGAAACCAAAGTGGTCTTGGTATGCAGATCTCCCCTGCAAGAAGAACCTAGAAGTTAGTTTACCCAAAATATACCAAAAACCAAAACAAAAACAAAACTAGAAAACCAAGTACCTGAAAATGAGTAGATGAGAAGCCTTGTGAATAATCCAGGACACTACTACTACCGCCAGAAGCTTGATTATTGGACACAATGAAGTTATTCTGCAAAATTTGTCAAGCACCCATCAAATATAATTCAATCCCATTAACAATGGATCAGAGCATGTTGATCAAATTAGTCACATTAATGAAGTTAAACTGTGATTAATTAATTATTAATTACCTTGGGGTAGTTGAAGACAGGGGAGCTGGCAGTGTCATCTAGAAAAGATGGTTGTTGTTGTTGTTGTTGATCACCACATGAGCGCCTACCTTTTTCTTTGATTCTCTGCTTTTTTCCTCTAAACTTCAAAGGTCCAAGATCCTTGGATGGAGGATAAAAACAACCATTAATATTATTATTAGTATTATCATCTAAGTAAACTTCATCTTCATTGAAATGTGGAGGCCCAGAAGATGCATCAGAAACCATTGACTGGTCCTCTTCTTCTTCATCCTCCTCATCACCATCAGCTTGTTTACTTCTTTTATCCTTGTACTCCTCACAGAAACCACTATCTCTGTGTGAAGCACTTGGATTATGAGAAAGAAAATTAGACTGTTCCAAGTATAGAGTCCAACCAGACTCACAACCACTACTGCATTCTGAGGCCAACACATTCATCTTTTCCTCTTCTTTTTTTTTTCACAAAGAATACCCTCTGATGGATTTTCCTTTTAATAACACAAAGAGAGGTGAACAACTAAACATATATATATATAGATGAATATCAACAACTCCCTCTCTTCTCTCTCTCTCTCTCTCTCTCTCTCTCTCTCTCTCTCTAAGTAACTAAGTAGATAAAGATGAATATCTCAATGGAGGACTAATGGAATGTGTCTCTCTATATTTGGACTTCACATACCAAGTTATGTAAAGATATAGGAGTTTTTGGAGTGCGGTAAGAAATAAAAAGGTTTATAAAAAAGAAAGTGAAATCTTAGACTTGTTTTGTCCTGACTCTCCTCTTCCCATTCAGCTCTGTATGTGAATGAATCAAAAATGCCAGTTGGGAGGGTTATAGTGGGTGCATGTAAGAGAGAGAGAGAAATATCAAAAATAAGGCACACAATATCCCTTCACATGCTAAGACAGCTAGGCACTGTGTACCCTCTTAACCAAAACGGGGTACACGTCCAATTCCCCTTCCTCAGTATATGGACACCTATATCCCTTCATATCAGTACCATTCATGCCCCTCTGGCTCTCTCTCTCTCTCTCTCTCTGTGATGTGTTTGCCCTTCTTTTTTTGTTGAGCACATAGCTTGATTGGATCAGCATGGGTGGTTTTAGTATGAGATTTTTCTTGAGCTATCTGTGGTCCTCCTGCTAGAGATGTTTTAGTTAGTAGATGTAAAACAATAGTATATGCTGCATGTTATGTTATTGGACTTAATTGCACATAGTCTTCAAGATACTTTTATCATCCTTTCTGATATTAGTTAACTTATGTGTAGTGTTTACTGTTCAGCCAAGTGGACTTGGGAATCTCCTGCCTTTCGCACTTGAAAAAGGAACTTGGAAGCTAACTAGTTTGTAGTTTTTGTAATGGAAAATACCTTGGGAACCAAATTTTAATTTCAACTCTAACTGATTGACTACATATAAAAGAGTTAGGAAGAGTATTATGAATACAATACTACCATATTTATCAACATCTTTCCAGATATCATCAAATAATTTGATATGAGACAATTCATTACATGTCAATTATAAATTGATATAACATACGAATCAACAGGTCATAGTTATTCACGTTACGCATTTGCATAAACTCTATAGTATCATATAGTAATGAACAAGAAGTTGTGTATTATTTGTATGTAATTGTCTAGGTCTCTCAAGAATCAAGTGAGAATTATTAAAAGGGTTTTAACACAAAAAGGTTAGGCATGACTGCATGAGTGGAGACTGTAGAAATTTCTTGGGGCAAAGTGCAGTTGACTGGACTGGGTGTTTATGAATCCACATGCAATCACATTCAAACCTCTCTCTCTTTCTCTCTCTCTCTCTCTCCTTTTCAAGAAAGAATAGTGCAGTGCAGGGATTTACTCTTTACCTCTGAGGACTCACACACGCATGTGGGCACGTGTGCATATGCATATGCAGAATTCCCCACATATTTACACACATGTCTGCACGTGCACACGCACTTCAACCTAAATTGCTCTTTCAAAGCTCCATTTTAAATATTGTCACTTGTGAATTCTGATATATATTCTTAATTTTGGTCCTCCTTTCAAAGTTCCAATGTTAGCTTCCTTCCTATCTTCCTTTTGATTTATCTTCTTTTTTATTTTCTTCTTCTCCTCCTATTTTTATGTATAAATCACTGTGAACCACAATGTGCCCTAATATAGGCATCTTATTATATTTGAATAGATCACCATCCTAATTCTAAATTAAGGAAAGCAAAGTATATTACGCATGTGGTGGTCAAAATAACAGGTGTTAAACTTATCCATAGCCACATAAAGTATAATCAACAAGTTTAACCATAATAATTGGTGCATGGTCTATGAGTACTCAAGTCAATAGTGCCATGTAAGATGTACTCAAGTCAATATGCATAAACATATATTATGGTCGGCCGTCTATATGCATACATAGGTAAAATTCGGATGTTAATGAATACAGAACTCACAATACATCAACAGTTAGATTTTGCCAACACGCACTAAACAGCTAATTCTGGCAACTTATGGTAGCATTGAAAATGAAGGTAAAAAATTCAAAAACCCATGTGCCTTCCTCTTGGATCACTCATTATTAATAGCCCATCCAAATGATATTCATTAGGGACCTCCAAGTGTTACTTTCAAACCCATCCAAATTGGGATACAGATGTTGTGTCTAGTAGTGTGTACCACCATCCAAGATTAAATTGTGAGCTCTCTCCAACTGGCCAAATCTCTATCTCTCTCTCTTTCTCTCTCTCTCAATTTGATTGAACCATGAATAGGTAACCCATGTCCCATCCAGCTCATATGGACCAAGCTTTGACAAATGCTGATTGAGGGGTTTAACAAACATTGGGTCCCGGACTGTTTTGACCTCATCTACCTCAATGAATTGGTCAACTTAATTAGATGAGCAGTTAACCTACTTAATTAGTTCATAATAACTACACACTTATCCTCAAAATGTAATGCTTGCCATAGGCCTCGGGGAATCACTAATTAATATGATAATCTCAGAAAACCAAAATCTTGAAATTAGCTATTATGATATAGTAATTTTTCACTAAACGTAACTTTAATCTCTGTCACAACTATAATTTATGAAACTTGTTGAATGTCTAATTCATAATTGTAACACTGTTCAAAGTTTGAATATCCAATACAATTATTTGTATCATATTTACCACTGAGCAAAGAAGCAATACTACAAGCAACAAATCAAATTTTAAAAAAAATTCTCTAATCACATATATCATTCATCCTTAACTTCTTATTGTAATACTTAAATTTCTAATGAATATGGTATTATCATGTCATTTTCTATATCATTTGGTAGCAGTAATCAATTTTCAGATTTAAATCTTTAGACGCATATTTATATTGTCAGACTGTAAATATGATAGTTAGTAAAATATGGAACAAGAAAAGTACGAAGAAAATACATACGTGTTTTATTTAGCAAAATTTTGGCCAGATACAACTAAAAAGTTTGGCCACTATATGATATTTTAATATAATTTATTTAATTTTTTAATATATATTATTTTTATTCAATAATATGTGAAAAATATATGTATAATACGTGAATTTTGTATGTATTATTGAATTTTTAAAAAATATGTGTATTAAATATGAAAATATGTATGTACATATATTATACATTTAATTTTTTTAAAAATATATATTTTACTTATTGTTTAAGTCGTACACGAAAAATGAAAATATTATTAAAACATAGATTCGTACGTGTATATTATGAACATTACATTATTTAAAGGAAGCGATACACGTGGGCGATTAATAGACCCCAGCTGGTAAGCTCAGGTGGGTCCAAGACCAAAAGTGGGACCCTAACCACAATCACGATTTATCGCATAGCAAGAGTACATCGTACGGAGGGGTGTACGAGGGCCAGCTGCACCGACCACTCGCCATGCCCAGTATCTACACGAGGATTTCGACAGGGCGGAGGGAATGGTGTGGTTGGACGCCACGTGGATCCTTGCCCAATTATTTCGCCGGGAACCATGCGCTTGCGGACCAAGATTGAGATAAGGTCATCACTGTTTCTCCTCCACGCACATTCTGAGCGCGTGAGGTGGTGTGAGATTTTACCCATATTCTTGGGGCTTTGCTTAGCAAAGTGGACAGTGGTAGGATATGATGAATAGATGATCATAGGATTCTCTTTCCTCTCTCATATAATTTTCAGCTCCAGGTGGCTACCACTAGCGTGGTCCTAACCCTAACCCTAAGTGAAAACCTCCAAATTTCAATGGATATTCAGTACCATCCTTGAAGATTCTCATAATGTCCAATCTTTTGGAATCTTGTAACACATTGCAATCAAAACTTTACCCAAATTAAGCCTTAATTGCTTGCATATATACCTCAATTGTATTTCCAAATTAAGTATGATAGTGTTAGATGTTGATTCGTAAGTGGATGTGACAACATGTTAGATGTTCATTCGTTTCGTAAGCGGCTATAACCTGTTTGATGACTTGCTTGCTCGACAATGATTATAATAAACATGCGATGCATTCTGAAATCAAATTTACATATAAACGACTCATAATAACTCCCGCTTACTCCTTAAATTGGAAGATGATGTTGTTATGACAAGTATCAAGTGAGACTACTAGAAGTTAAATCCTTGCTATCTTTTACTGTACCATGTCTTTGTTCTTATCATCAGTTTCCTGGACAACCGAGTGAAATTAACTTTATCCAAACCATCAAGGCACAATTCCCTCTTGTTGTACTGTTCCACACCAATTAAGAACAGTAGTCGTGCACCTTTCACTTATTCAATCATGTGGAGGATAGAGATTTCAAAATTTAATTACTGAATATTTCTATTTTGGTGAAGATGATAGTGATAAACATAAATATGTGGCACCAAGAAACTTGTCCTCCTGCTTACAAAAGTGGGTGTTTGGTCACTCCCATGTGGGAAGTCTGCATCAGGAACAGCCATAATAAATATGGACAATCAAGAACTTGTCCTCATCACATGACAAAAATGGAGTATCAGTTTGTTCTTTCAAGAAAAGAAAAAAACCCTTACAAAATTAATTCTCAATCAAATCTTTTGGAAAGAGTGAGGCGTTTTGTGGTCCACAAAAAAATCTGAGGCGTTTGAAATTTTTTGCAAGTCCAGTCCACCTGCAAAGCAGTACAAATTCGTAAAGGCTCTGGGCCTAGCCAACTAAAATTTCATTTTCATATGGCCCATGCACTTAAAGAATCCCAACTAGCACTAAACATGTGGAAGGGAGGTGTCCAAACTTTCACTATTTGCTTAGCCATTCCTACAAATATTGAGCACATTTTGCATGCAACTGAAAAAGCCAATGGGAGAATAGAAAGTGCTATAGTTTAGCTAGAGAGAAACCTATATGGAGAGCAGTGACAATTTCTTCCATGAAGCTAGCTACCTAGACCAAGAAGGTCAATTTAGAACCTCAAGGGTGCCCGTGGTTCAAGAAATCGCTCGTCGCGGGATTAAACACTTGCCTAAGAGGTTTGCTAGGGTGTATTCTCAACACAATCGTGATCCGGTTACCTCATTTTTAGCTGATGATGTTTCGGAGTTCCTACCATCAGTAAGTATGGCCAACTTACGGGCCCGGTTCAAACCCGAGGACCGAGCCCAAGAGCTGGCCAAGCTAGCAAGTGGGGCAAGAGCTTGGGGCATGTTCGTAATCAAGGACCACGGTGTACCTTGGTCTGTGTTGCAAGGTGTGAGGGATGTGGTTAAGGAGTTCTTTGGGCTGTCGTTTGAAGAGAAGAAAGCAAGTGTTGGGTCGTATGTGAGTGTAGACAACATGGGTTATGGCCGGAACTTTGTGAAGTCGGAAGATCAGCCGCTGGACTGGATTGATCGTGTGACTATGAAAGCAGCTCCTGCTGGAGCCACCCAAGGGCTCCACGTTTGGCCTCAAAGGCCTGCCAATTTCAGGTGCCCTACTTTCATCACATAAATATGTATGTGCAAATGCAAAGCATACATTTTGACGTTCCTATATTTTTCTTATATCCATCTTCTCAAGGTCCACCGTTTGATTTGATCATAATGAAATAATCTTGCATCTAGTCATTTCTCTTTGGATTCAGGCGTCGTTTTATTCCCTCGGTCTATGTTGGACTATTTCAAATAAATAGGCTAATTTCGTTTGATGAACTTATAATTTATAAATGTTGAACTGAACACATTCAAAAATTAGAAATTAGTATGCCCAACCAGACGGCCATAAAAAGTAGCCCAATTGAAATTTTTTTTTTGTGTGGATATTGAGCCCAACTTTGTATTTAGAACACATTCTTGATCAACTCACAGAGTGCCTCAGATCAACTCAATTTTGTCACATTGTTAAGCAGGCATGCTATAGAGCAATACGTTGCAGAAGCAAGATCCATCTTGAATGACTTATTGGATGCCCTAGCCGAAGCCTTGTTGCTAGAAAGACATGCATTCCTCCAAAACTTTGACCCCAACGAAAGTGAGATCAATGTAAGAGTCAACTACTACCCACCATGTCCTAGACCAGACCTTGCCCTTGGTCTAACTCCACATTCTGATGCCAGCGCCCTCACCCTCCTCATGCAATTCGACCCGGGGGCTGCCGGAGGCCTCCAAGTGTTGAAAGACATGAAATGGGTCAGTGTGACTTGGCCACCAGAGGCATTGCTGGTGAATGTGGGAGATTTGCTAGAGATCATGAGCAATGGGAGGTTGAAGAGCCCATGGCATAGGGTTGTGACCCAAATGGACATAGATCGGTTTTCAGTGGCTTTGTTCTATAATCCATCTCCCCAAACTGAGATTGAGCCCATCAGGGATTGTTCCTCGAGTGATGAGGAGTATAAGAAGGTGGTTGTGGGTGATTATTTGCAGCATCTTTATAAGATTAGTCCTACCATGGAGAAAGAAGCTATCAACTTTTCTAAAACTCCAAAACCCTAATGGGGACATGTGTGTAAGAAGTATATGCTTTATAAATGTTGTTGTTATTGTAATAAATTATATATATGGAACGGTTTTCCCAAAGACACCTAGGTTCCGATTTTGTTTTTTTATACAAGCGATAATCTACTCTAAATTAACCTAATTTACACGGACAGAAATTCGAACTTGAATGCAAAGGGATAAAATCACTACCCTGACGAACTAGCCTAACCCAAATATGCAATTTTATTTGTTATTTATGTAACTCACAGAAGTGAAAGAAGGCCAAGGCAAATGCAAAGAAACATATATCGCAACGGAAGAAAAGGACTAACCAACATAGAGTTGAAGGCGGAGGAGAAGGCTGAGCTGAAGGCACAAGAATCTTAGGGGCGTGCTTAAGAAACTAACATATTCGGTAAATATGAATTTCCATGATCATACATCTATCAAGATTAAGATTCATGCCGTCGGCTCAAACTCCTCCCCCGCTGCAATATCTTAGAGAGCCATTTTCTTGATCTTAGTCACAATATTTTTCTTTGCATTTGCTTTGGCCTGCTTTTTCCTCGGTGAAGCCAAGATTTTGTTTTTTTTATAATCTTTTTGCCTTTGTGCTCTGCAAAACTTTTCAGTTATAGACTCATCAATTTGAATTCTAAGATCATGCCGATCTCCATGTGTCATACTAGTGTTGTGTTCTAACAAGTTCTACAATAGCATGCCCATGTTACACATACTTCTGATATGAAGATCATTTATGTAAAAAATGTATGTAGCTTTTATTGCTTGAAACCCTTTTGACACATAGCGCAAAGGCCATTGGTTATTGATTGAATGTGTTATGAATATGAGCCGTGGGAGGAAGTGGCGGTCCTAAGGTTGTAAAGGCTCTAGGCGAACCATAAAAATGTGGCCCTCAATCTTCTATGTACATTCATTCGATTTATTTTTACTGTAATGATATTTTATGAACTCAAATTTAATATTGTTACATTTAAATAGACAAAAAAACAAAAAAAACAAACAATATGTAATCACATTAGGCCTCCAAACACTGGATTAGGATTCTAGATCCAATTCACCACCAAACAGGCCCATTGTACACAACAAGATAGGAATAAACAAAATTTACTCAAATTCTAGAACAATAATACATATTTACTTACCCATATAAACCAAAGAATTTTTCAAAACTGCATATCTTTACTAGGCATTTGTAAATTCAAGATTAATTTCCCAAAAAACAAAACATGAAATTCAAAACTAAAAGAATCATCAATCACCATACATGTTAAATAACTTCAACCTTTATTAAATCATTGAGAAAGTATAAAGAGAAAAGTGTTTGTTGTTAAGAAATTTCTTTTTCATATTTCAAAATTTGAAATTGGGCTCAATGTATTTTATTTCTTAATTTTATTCAACTTGTTTAATTGACATAGATTATGAATTTAATGAATAAGCTGGTCTTTTTCAAGGCATTCTATGTTGATGCCTAAATTTGGTTCAACAGCAGGATGACATCTCATGATTGACCTAGGAATCCTTCCATACCAACCTTGCATGATCAAGCATGTTGTCCTCCAGAATGAGTTCCTATTGCTTAGGGATTGCAATTTGAAAATAGAGATTGAGTGAGAACATGCAATCGAGCGAAGTGAGATGATGAGCACATAAACTATCACATTTATTATCCCTAAATATATTTGTTAGTAATTGATTTTCTTACAATTTTAGTTAATTAGGTTTGTTTTTCACTTTTGCACTTGCTTACATACCCATTACATAATTGATGATGATTTCATCTTAAGGTTGAAGAAGATCATTGGATGCTAGTAGGCAAATGGATGCAACAACCAATGAAACAAAAAGATGAAGAACTTGGAGAATGGAGTCATCAACACTATGAAATAAATAAAGGAAGCAAATTGGCAATTGGTTTGATGGCAAGTGGAAGACATATTCAATTCATGCATGGAGTGGATGAAGCAACAAACAAGATGGTGGCTTGAAGATGTGGAATCATGAACTATTAAAATTGTGAGTTAAGCAAATGAAATGAAGGATGATGAGAAGAGGTGCAACACTTAACCAAAAGAAAAGATTGAATAACAAAAGCAAGTAGAAGTGGAGCAACAATTGAAGATAATTTTTATTAGTTTGATCCAAACTTAAGTTTTAATGTGAATTTGTAGTTTTTGTTCAATGGAATTTGTAGTTTTCTTTTTAATTAATTGATGAATGTTTGATAATCTATTTCATGGGTTCAATCATGTTTTTCCCATTGTGTAGTAAAAACTTTCATGCTTTTAAAAGAGAAGAGAATTACTAAAGATTAATAGAATTTTGATGAAGATTATTTTTTGATAGTTTGTTGCCAATGGTACAAGTTATGCTTAGAATACTTCTAAAGGAAATTAAAAAGGGCTTTAATTATTTTGAACAACTACAAAGGAAAATATTTTGTGGATCAAATTATTAAGAGTTGCATGCTTATGTTAAAAGTGGAAACCCAATGCCTTAGTGTTTTAATCAATTAAATTTTCTCTAAATCAAATCTTGCATAAATCAACCTCTCAATCACACTTGTTCTTTTTCATCTCTGTTATTTTCTTTACACTGCTCTCTGTGGATACGACACTCGGACTTCCGAGCTACACTGCTATACGACACCTCCCTTAGGTTTTGCAAAGTGGTGCGAACATGAGATATTTATGTGGTTCACCTTAACTGGGTTACATCCACTGACATGGATTGTTGGGTATTTTCACTATTAAATAAAGGAAGAACAAAGTACAAAATGTTTACACTCATAGTTATTATGAACAAAATAAGCGATAGTATTAAGATATGTATGAAAAAGTGAGATTTATGTCGTAGAATTGTGTTGCCTTTCAGAAGATCTCTTGTGAGTTGAAGAGTCGCCTTTATATAATGACTAGAATATGACCCGGACCTTGTAGGAGGAATAGGCTTCTTTATTAGGCTTAGAGTTAAAGATAATCTTCGAAGTAATCTCCTTAATTATTAAGAAATACGGTTACAATCACCTGCTTTACTTAATATTCAAAGAATATTGTTGGGAATTCAGAACAAACAATATATAGTCCCATACCAATTTTTATGAAGCTCGGCTATTGGGTAATTTTATCCCACTAATAGTATTGATTCTATTCCATGCACTTACTCCTAGTTTCCTCCAATATCTCATTATTTTGCTCATCAAACTTGAAAGTTCAATCATACTATTTTTGTACACATTAAAGAGAATGAAGATAAAGGAATTGAGAAGTTTAAATTTAAATGAATGATCACAAAAATAAGTAAAATCATACTCATTTGAATTATAAAATCATGCAAATGCAAAGTTTATATTGCTATGACTTTGTAGTCACATAGGTAGTATGAGGATACTATTGTCAAAATTTTAAAATAAAAAATAGAAATTATAAGAAAAAACTCCATCCCTATTGTGAAAATATGTACGAAAAATAATTAGGCCCAGCTGGCCCAACTGTTTTGGTAGGTATTTTTAGTCAAATTAGTTGAATATGTTGAACCCTATCTCAGTCCGTGTGAGTCTCAGATTTAGGGATGGTGTTCTTTTTTCCTTTTTTAAGGGACGATGTTTTTAACGCACTAAAAAATGTCAAATAATAATGTTAGAGACAACAGATTTATCAAATGATTTGGTACATGACACGTTATCACTTTTAAATTGACGAAATTTCCAGTGATTAATTTCCAACTCAACTTCAAGATAGCATTTTGGATTGAAGTTGATCCTATATGTTTACAAATAAATCACTTTCTTATTTATTTTAAAAAATCACAAAGATATTAAGGTCAAATATCCCACCTAATTGAGAAAAAAAAAAAAAGAAGAGAGAAAGGAGAATAACAACTACCATTCCTTTTTTGGCTCCTTTTCCTTTTACAGTATGTTGTCTTAATCTTATGATGAATGTAGTAAAACCAATAATGCACCCTTTTCAGGCAATTTGAGTTCGGACCCAATACCCAATTTCAAACACATAATCTATAGTTGAAGATTTTGTCACAACACATTTTGGATTTGCTACTTTATTTTTAGTGTAACAATATATGGCTCGTCTAATCTCAATACCAATGTCAATTGTCAAACGCAACTAGAAAACTCAGACAAAAGGTGAAAATATCTTTTACGGTTGCACTTGTGACTTTCCACCTTGATGTGGAACTTTGACTATTCTAATTTGCTTAATTTTAGGTCTTCTTTTTGTTTTGTTTTCTTCCTGTTCTTTGAACATATATGACACGCATAATTGAAAGTGTTACAACTTTGTAATTGAAAAGTTCACGAGCATCCTAAATCTAATGGCCGTAAAATGGTGTGTGCTAGACAAGCCATAAAAGTTACAAGTTCTGAATTCGAATCTTCCTTCTTTACTAACGAAAAAGAAAAACCCAAAACAAGCCACAGATTTATGTGTACGGTGAAACAAGCCTGCAAATTTCTCGAAGAACACATTGATGAGGGGGTTCCTCAAGGGACAGAAGAAAGCTAGAGATGCCAATCACACAGGGGTGTGCAGAGCAAAACACTCGTTTGGTCTCTCTCTCATTTGATTTCTTATATAAAAGAAAGATAAGAAATCAGTAGAGAGCACAGGGGATGGTATCGGTGGGTGGATGGGTGGATTAATGGTTCTTGTGTACAACGTGAAGGTTGTTAATGCCCTTTTGTCTCTTGCTTTGGCCTCTTCCCATTTCTCTAAGGACGACTTTGGAAAGGTCCATTGTCCTACAATTGCAGGGTCATAATCTCTCTCTCTCTCTCTCTCTCTGGAGACTGGCCTTTATCTTAAGCTCCTTAACTGCCCTCTGTTTGTGGGCCTCTGTGGGGGGGCCCATTTCTTGTCCCAAGCCCAGATTTCACATGCACACAAGAACTCTTCTTGACCGCATTACATTACATAATACCAAGAATTCTATAGTGAGGGCCCTCAGGTGAGGTGAGGCATATCTCTTAATTGTTGGATTAAATTAATTAGTTGTTAAATTAAATAATGATTAGTAAATAGAACCTCACTTAAGAGCCATTTATAATACTCTCACTATAAAATGACTCACATGTATATAATTCATTTAAATGTGGTTAGGGACAGACCGAACCCCGAGCGGGTATTAATCTCACCCTTCAAGTGTAAGGACACCTCGTGGCATTTACAAATAATAATAATAATAATAAACAAAATTGGGTCCCATCTTTACCTTTCCATACAGCCTGGAAATGGATCCCACATTGCCTAATTTTTAATCTCTAATTTTATTGGAAATCATGAGACACAAATTTTTCTTGTCCCATTTGTTTATAGGTCATTTTCCCACCACATCAAGGCGAAAATCACAATAATTCAAAGGTTTTGCGCAAGGGCTGTAATCAAGGAAACACTCACTTGAAAATGGACGAGCTAAAATATATTTTATTTTTATTGATATTTTGATTATATTATCATGTGAGAGAGGAAAAAAATCTCTTCACTGCATATCATCTATTTTCATTTATCATGTGCTTAATGCATTAATGATTGAATGCGAGAGTCATCGTATGAAATGACAATATGAAAGATTTTCTTTATGGAACCAAATTTCTTATGACCGACAAAAAAATGGAACCAAATTTCTATCATCTTTCTTCGTATTTAAAGAGTTATCTCAAACAATAATCTCGTAATTCACACGAAAAAAGTAGAATTTTTCACATGAAGAGTCGGTTACATGAGAATATTGCGTTGTAGAATTTTTCTGAAAGTAAATGCCCTTGAACTAAAATTTGAAGGAACTGACAATCAAATCAAGCCATAACTTCCTCTCTAAACCTAAATTTAACCTCAAACCACATCAGAGAAAGCTCAGGAATCCGATCGTTGAAGCCAAGTGCACAACCATTAGTAACTCTCAAAAAAACAATAATGAGTGCCAACTTTTCCCCACAAAGACAGACAGAAATCCCTCTTCAATCAAGACCACCTTCCATTCCATGAATGATCCAACCTTGTAAGCTGTTTTTCAATTGTGGCCTCAATCGAGATACGAAGTTCATCGCATTCAATACTAGAAAAACTTTATGGACCCAAAAATATGATGCATTTATTTACCCAAAGAAAAATGAATATATAATGCAAGTGCACATACCAAAAATAAAAACCCCAAAAAGAGAAGAATAAAAAAAGAGCATGATTTGATACACAAAATAAATATAGCTTTGAAGTGACCCCTTGTGGTCTCCAGTCATCAAATCAAATCTTTGCCTCTCACTAGTCACATATAATGATATGGTCGTACCAGTTACTCTTCCCTCCTTACACGTGGACGGCTCCGATTCACCTCACCCCTCTGTATCCCATATCCCCAACTCCACTCAGATTCTTTCCCTCCAATTCCTCTCCTCCCCACATTACGTGTCAAGCACCTGTCACCCCCCACGTCATTCCCGCCAAACCTCCCTCACGACGTCACTCTCAAAAATCCTTTTCCTTTCCTAACCCAGCACAATTATGATTCTACCCTCCATTTTATTAATAATTTTCAATTACATTAATTAAACCCTCACCCGCCACGTGGCATAACCGTCACGTATTTCGTAGAAGATCCATAATTTACATGCACGACATGATTTAAAACATCATTACCCTAAATTAGACCCGTTAATCTAATTTACGAAAATAAAGCCCATCGTCCTCAAAATATATAAAAATTATATTAAATATAATCTCTAATCCCAACCGTCCATCTTATCATGATGAGAGTTGACAAAAAAAAATATAAGGACAAAAAATTAGAGACAGATTTAATTTAATTTAAATAGGTGGGTCTTTAATTTCTCTGTCTCTGTTTTATCTACGGCGGCTGTACATCAGCGGCAGAGGAGGGTCGGAGCCGCTTTGCTGGCGGCTCGGCTTGAACGGTGGAGCCGGGATTTTCTGACCTAGTGTCGCAACTTCCACAGGCAGCCGCGTCGAGCACACCGACTGGGCTGGCTGGGGATGAAGACGCCGTTCGAAAGACGGGCTCTTTATGGCGGGACGAGGGACACGTGTCGATCAGATACTCCTCCATGAGTTGGTGACAGCTTCTCGCCCTCTCCTGTCCCCAATAAAAAAGCAAAACAAAACAAAAAAACAAATTTTTATTACCGCGCGGATTTGTCAGTCTTTTTTCTCAACACAGCTTTCTATGCCTTCTAAACTCTTCGAATTCCTCAATTAAAACAAAAATTAATTATTTAAAAAACAGCCCCGGGAAAAGTCAAAGCTTTGCTAAGAAGACCCCGCGGTGGATTTATATACTTTGTTTACTCTTTCGTGGAACAACGACGCCGCTTCACGGTCTTCCGCCGCCGCAAAATCCACGCTTTTTTTGGCGGCGCAGAGCACCGCCGCCGCGGCAATCGTGGAAGGCGAAAAACCCAAGAAATCAATCACTGAAACACAATTATAAAAAAAAAAACGAAATTTAAACACCAAAAATCCAAAAACAAATACAAAATAAGAACTGGGTTATATTTATTTCTATGTATTACCACGTATGGTGCTGAGAATTAGATCGGAGGAAGCTGAGAAGAGAGAGGAGGAGGAAGAAGAAGAGGGGAGGTTGGCGATGAAGTGGTGGAGGAAATCGAAGGGGGTAATGGATCGGAGCCTCCAGTTGAGAATGGTCATGACCCGTAGCTCCATTCTCTGAACCGTTCTGGGCTCGAACACGAACTTGGGCTCGAAGATTTGGAGGTCCAAAATGAAGGGCACATTGGGCTCCTCCATCTTCGCCGCTAAAGACAGGCAGGCCACAGACAGCAGCTGAAACGGCCAGTACCCATTGTGCTGCTGCTGCGATAAATAAATAAATAAGCAAGCAAAAAGTCAGACACGTCGGCACATTTTCCCGGAAAATGCGACGTTTTATCGGAAAAGGGAGGAGAGTGATTTACCGGGAGAGAATGGGAGGAGAGGAAGCGGTCGAAGTAGTTGATGGAGAGGAAGGCGGTGAGGGGAGAGAAGCGATAGTGGGCGTGGACTTTTAAGATCCAGTTGATTGAATCCTGGCGAGCGGTGACGTCGATCGAACGGTCGCGGAGGCAGGAGATGTAGTTTGGGGAGGGGATGTGATTGGGCTCGGAGTCAATCAGACGGGTAAGGATGGTGGCGGTGTCGTCGGTTTCATCGGACGGTGGGGAGTGATGGGATGAGACGACAAAGTTGGAGGTGTCGTAAGAGGAGGAGGAGGAGGAGGAGGAGGAGGAGGAAGAGGAAGAGGAAGACATTGGGTGAGAGGAGATGTGGGTTTGGTCATGGCTGGGTTGCATAAGGAGGCATTGTGTTCTTGTTGGTTTCGCTTGCTGTCTCTCAGAGTGAGACTGTTGTGTGGTGGTGGTGTGTGTTGGCTCTTTTCTTTTCTTTATTTTGTTGCACTTTTTGTGTGTTTTCTTCTGTTTGTTTGTTTGTTTGTGTGTGTTGGTTGCTTGGTTGAAGAGAGAGAGAGACAGAGACAGAGAGATGATGCTGTATCACTGTATCACTGTATCACTGTATCAGAGATGGTGTGAAGGGAGGACAAGACGTAGTAGAGAATGAATGAAAGGTTTGCACTTGCTGCTATGCGTTTTGAATGAAAATGTTTGGTATCTTCTATTTCATTGCGGTATCTTCTATCTCATCTTGCATTTGCGGTATGATTATACAACATTGTAGAGAAAAACATATGTTCTATATGTTTACCTCTAGTATAGGATAATCATTTCAGTAGATTGCGAAAACAAAGATAAGGCCGCTAGCATTCCCCATTTCATTTGGTTAAAACGTGTTTCCAACAAAACAAATGCTGATGAAAACAATTCATAAACAGCACTCACCAGTAGACCCTATGTTCTAAGTGTGCGTAAAATTCAATCCAAACCTATTAAACCAACCAATCCAATCCAATTCAATTCAATCCAAAATTATTGCGTGCTAATTTCGAAACCCAACTTACATGAACTGAATGCTGATTATAGGGTGTGAAAACCTATTAAACCCGAAGTAATTCAACTGAATTTTTCGCAACTTATCATGATTCTACTTGGTTCTAAGCTAAATTATAATAACCGATGAATTCAATTGAGATTTTAATGAATTTTAATATGTGCAAAATTAAAATATAGAAAAACGTTAAAATGGATTTGATTTGACATACAGATAGATTTATTTCTCTCTCGTTATTTTTTCATTCAATGGAAAGAACTTTCCACGGGACAGCTGCAAGGTTCGGTACAATAGGTGGCATCCTCCTGGAGGAAATTTTGTTTTTTAGTTCCTTATTATGTCTTTGAACAAAGTTAAATTATTGGGTGCAAAATAGGATTTAGCAGCGCAACGTACCACCATTTGAACACTAGTCGGAAACCACCACCCGTGATGTTCGTCGAGTAGAGAGTAGCCCAATAGGCCCACTCCTAGTCAAAATCATGTCAATAAAAACCATGCTAAGAAATGTCAACCAGAAGAATTTTTTTATTTTTTTATTTTTCAAGCCTCAATTGACGCCACATTGAAAGCAGATTGGGCATGATGGCCACTACATTCTGAATTTTATGTCGCATACATTTAATTTTTCCCAAAAAAAAATTGCATACATCTATTACCCCCACGGGTAGTTGAGTGGTAAAATAACTAGCATATGACGAGCTGTAAACTTTCACGGTTTCGGTCTAAACCTTCGTGTGTCTATTTTACACGGTGATTATACATATTCAAAACTTATCTTGTGCAATTAGAGAGAGGGTCGCGAAGATTTTCGTAGTTAATCAAATAAAATGTGGCATACATTATAAGACATCTCTTTCTTGTACATTGGGATGAGATTGGAACCATGACTTATCTTAGTCTTAACCTTTCTCTTCACCCCTAGCTTTACATTATAAGACATTTCATGTGTACAGAAATAGATCAAGCTGTAGCATTGCCTGTTTTAAGCAAAATTTTAAAACTAAAAACATCATGGTCACTCCAAAAGTTGAAACGTGTTCTAGGGTTTTAGCTCAATTGGTAAGAGGAGGGGGGTAGGTGGAGGAGACAAACCAAAAGTTGGGGCAAGGTAAGTTAGATATTTAATTCTTCAACAATGGCTCAAAAATATCAGAGGTGCACCGTCGTTATTTAAAATGACAGCTTATATGTTTTTTGTTCCCCCGAGTCTGCATCAGCTTAATGTAACTTGAAAATGATGGTCGAATGGTCATATTATGCATATGGATATCTTGTGGTATCAAAATGCCAAAATGATAGGATGGGGTGGAGATGGGTTGTTTTATAAAAATTAAATAATAAAAAATTCATTCTTCTTGTAGCCAATCTTGAATATGACCTATGACACATTTTTTGTGTGCACTTTAATTGTAATGATGTGGGCTAGTAGTTGTTAATGCGGCTTTTATCCCGCTCTAGTTTTGCTTTTTAGCGTGTTAGTCATGTTGCTCTCGTGAGCTTGATTCTTTGGATGTCATGTTGATATCATAGTTTATATTGTTCAAGATCATCTAATGAAGTTGTTCTTTGATAAAATAAAATAAAAACTACCATTGACCTAAAAAATTATGAGTTCTCTGTTTATATGAAAATTTGAAAGATTTACCCCTCTTCTTACTCATCTCATACTATACTAGTTGTGTTAAGGCCCGAACCTAGTTCTGGTGCTAGTTACATACATGATCATTTGGTTTAGTGACACCGATTTTTTACTTTATGCAAGGATATTTTTAATTCAAATATTATAAATGAGACGATAGTTGAATGAAAAAAAAACAAGTTGAGTTGAAGTTTTCATTTACGTGATTTACTCACATTCACAAGCATTGTCACTTCCAATGTAAGCAATGTGCACTGTGAATGATATGGAAGATGTCCAAGTTGGACTGTGCTTCATTTGACAGCAACACAATAGAGCAGAGTGCAGACAAAAAAAAAACAAGGAAGTGACACAACAGAGGCCTTGTGACTTTGGATCCCACTTAACCCCAGCAGTGTGGAATTTGACTTTTTTTTTTTTTTTGGTTAGGTTGAAATAGAATTTGAAATCATTTATTTACTGGTATGTAATTTTTGCTGGTTCTTTTTAGATACCAAAGTACTACAGCCAGCTAGCTTTGGGTTTGGATTTTGTTCTCAATTGGTTACCTGGATTCTACTTTGATTCCTAGGTACAGTTCTTTGTTTTAAGTCCATTCCCAAACCCAACTTTTGATGTGGCTCCAGTAATGCCAATGCAGAAATACAATTCTGAACCCCACAACCAATACTTTCTGCCTGCTTATTTAGGTAACCTTATCCTAATTCCCTAGGGGTTTATATGTTAATCTACTTATCTATTTATAATCAATATTCATATTGTATTGTGTACCTTAAACCCTAAGGAATTAGGATAAGGTAACCCCATATAAGCAAATCCATTTCCATTAAGATATAAGATAAACATTTACACCAGAACAAGGCAAAGACATCAGATTGACAGATCCTTTAATACCACAGAGAATAAAGCCAAACCCCAAAAGTGAACTAGTCTTTTGTTTGTGACAGAATGCCAGCAACAATTCCAATATAAAGTTGTTCTCTTCACAACATATCAAATTCTTGAAAAATCAGTAATTAGAGGGTTTCCAAGCTCCATTACAAATGTAATACCAAGTTTTCAGCTATAAGAACATAATTACAAGCTCAGTGTGTATTCAATTACCAAGATGGTTTCCCATTCCAAATTGCTCCTATACATATCCCTTTTTTTTTCCCTTCTGTCAACTTGACAACAAAACACAAGACGCTCTTCCTTAGTTTCCTCTATTTGAGCTGTTCATTAATGAAAAGTATTGGATGGAGTGAAAGGATGCTTAGCATCAAACTGAAGGGAAATGCCTATTAAGGTTGTATGGCAATGAGTAGAACTCTTCACTCCTAGTATCTGAGCCAAAATTCCTGAACTTTTCCCACCAGTGCCTGCCACTATCTCTCCGAGTTGAGCCGTGTCGGCGACTGACAGTTGAGTCCAAGAAGAAAGCAATTATAATTGCCACTGTTGCTGGGGATGAAAAAATTACTTGCACTATATTGTTGAACTGCAAGAGTAAATAAATAGCATTCGGGTGTTAGCACAGAGTTTTCTGTAAGACAACAGTGAATCTTTGAAGATAAATTTCAATTCAACTACTCACCCAAGTAGAACCAGTGTGAACAGGACCATGACCAGAAGTTGCGAGGTATTCGTTAAAGTATTGGGGCACAGAAAGACCCATGAAGAGAGCAAAGCCAACAATGAACTTTGACCTATAGCTGTTTAGGTTGCAGAACTGGAGCAAACCAAGACCAGCAGAAGCTGCACACCAAACAGTACAAATCATCAAAATTTCAAATCTACAGGTTATATGTGACCAAGCATAGACAATAAACTGAGAATTATTCATAGTATGTTCACATAAACTTTTTTAAAAAAGTCAATAATACATATTCATAGTTATGATATAGGAATGAAATGCGTACCAACATAGGCGTAGAGGACACAATACAAAGCCGCCACAATAGGTAATGGTATAGAAGCAAGAACAGCCCCAAATTTTCCTGTGAATGACATAATTAATGACACCTTAGGCCACATAATTTAAACAAAGTCAATAAGATGCTAAGCTCCTGCTTGCACTCACTTAGTTTATATCCTTATTGAGAAATTTAGTATCCAAATTAGATAAACAGTTAGCCCAGCAAAAATATAGAATATTCAAGATTTAGATTGCTAAACGGAACACCGAACCTAATACAGAGAAGAAGAGCATAAAGCCTGCCGATATTTGAATCACTCTCCGACTTCCAATATGCGTTAATCCCAAAAGACCTGCATTTTCACTAGAAAAACAGGGTAAGATCATTAGATCGCATGTTTACACAATATGGCAAATATAGTTTCTTTCTTCTTTTTCTCTCTCAGTTAACAATTATTTCATCTTCAGATATATTTTCACTAGAAAATGCAGTGAGCTAAAAGCCTACAACTGGGGCACCCACGCACTCAATGCACAAAACTATGGGCCCTTGTAATGTGGATCGAGAACTGTGACTAATGTACTGTTCTACAGGATTATATCCAGACAATCTTATCCAACAATCGCATAAAGCAATCTCCAGATTTCGTATAAATCAACATCTTTGCACTTTGTTCATCCTTTTTATATGCCCAGTGATAAAAAAAAATTGGTAAAGGTAATGTGACATTCTAGCAATATTTGAGCCAGAGAAGCATTTGTCCTTATCCCAGAATTCCACAACAAAGGATGTCATAACTTCATAAGTTAAATATTTACACTGATGCTGTGGAGCCAGTTAATGTGCCAAATATGCCATCCAGAAAAGTGTTTATGCCCTGAAATTTTTACAAGACCAAATAAGTGTCGCAGAACTAACAATTACAAAGTGTCTACAATCTTACTATAAAGTTGTGATTAACATGACAATTCATAGGACCACTTCCTACCAGCCAGCCAATACCTCTGCCGAGAACAGAAGGTGGTAGAGGGGTGGCACTCCCATATCTTGATGCCGCAATAAACGTACCGGTT